ATCTCAAGCAGGTCCAAGGTGGTGATCCTCCCCCTCTATGCGGCACTGGTCAGGCCACAGCTGGAGTCTTGTGTCCAGTTCTAGGTGCTGCACTTCAGGAGGGATATGGACAACATGGAGAGGGTCCAGAGGAGGGCCACTCGCATGATCAGGGGGCAGCAGGGCAGGCCCTATGAGGAGAGGCTATGGGACCTGAACCTATTCAAGAGAAGGCTGAGGGGGGATCTAGTGGCCTGTTACAAACTAGTCAGAGGGGACCAGCAGGCATTGGGGGAGTCCATGTTTCCCCGAGCACTACCAGGAGTGACTAGAAATAATGGTTGCAAGCTGGCAGAGGGTAGATTCAGGCTAGATATCAGGAAGCACTACTTCACGGTCAGGGCGGCTAGGATCTGGAACCAACTTCCAAGAGAAGTGGTGCTGGCTTCTACCCTGGGGGTCTTTAAGAGGAGGCTAGATGTACACCTTGCTGGGGTCGTTTGACCCCAGTACTCTTTCCTGCCATGGCAGGGGGTCAGACTCGATGATCTGCTCAGGTCCCTTCTGATCCTACTAACTATGAAACTATGAAGCCTCTAGAGAGGTGCAGAGTGATCTCAGCTCCCAGTGAGGGAGCGGATCACCTGAGGATCAGACACAGGCTTAGAAAAAATGACAGTGCATGTGAGAGGTTCACAGTTTGCCATCAGGGACTATACACCCACATCACAAAACTAAAATTTCTTATAACGAGCAGTCTCCATTCCACAGAAGCCTGTGTCTGATAGGAAGGAAGCAAAGACTGTTTTGTGGGAAAACACTGGAGAAACGTTCAAAACACAGTGGTTCAATTCATGGCTCTGCCACAGGCTTCTTGCATTATCTTGGGCAGGTCCAAGAACCCATATAAGCCTGTGACAATTCTTTAACTGGCTTCAATTAACAGAGTCTAATATCTAGTCCACCTATGGCTTTTCTCCCATTTGTATAACCAGGGTTAACAATACTTTCCTACTTTCCAGGGAGGAGTAACTGTTGGGAGGATTAACTAATGTTTTAGTATTGAGGTACTTGACATTGGGATATACAAGTACCTATAGGGATAGCACTGTACTGACTCACAGGTAGGGTCATTGCATTGTTAAAGACTGAAATGCACTGGTTCCACTTATTACATTGTGCTCTTCACTTCCATTAGCTCTAAATTCAAAATAAAAAGCAAAAGCTGCAAAACCAGTAAAAGTAAAGTAAATGCAGGTTTGTCTTTTTTTTTTTAAATAGGGATTCCCCCCCTGCCTCCCCCAGCCTTTTTTTTTTTAAATGTGGACCCACATTTAAGGAATTCTGTCATGCAATTTAATCGTTGACTTTGCAGGTAATTTTTAATAGCCTCCAGGAATGGAGAAATGTATATTTTGATATTTAATTGTTTAGGGTAATTTTCTTGCAAAATGAAACTTTCATATAATGTTACAACATCCTGTAAATCAGGCCCATAACATATAATAGATTTATACCTGCCTTGTGAATATAATTAACTCCCCATTTATTAATATATAAAACAAGGAACTGAAGTCACATTTGTACAATGATCTATTTTTGGTGGACCATGCATGCTAAAATCCCAGCCTTGATTTCTTGAACTATTGAGTCTGCCATAAATATTTGATGCTGAACAAGCCCATAAAAAGAAAATGCCGAATATGAATAGAGGGGGAGCAAATGTGTGATTCAATTTTAATTACCAGAATCTTTTTTCTAAAGTCAAGTTCATCTTCTGTAAGAAACAGAAAATTACCAACAATCTTCTTTCTTGCTGTAACCTACTTTAAATCCTCAGCAGCACATTTTAGTCCAGATCTGAAGGAGGAAGAGATAGTAACATGGAAAACAAAAGGACCAGGACACAAGGACTAAGGTAGAACAGTCTGGTTTTATTACCTCATGTAATCAAGAGCTTTTATTCTGCTTTCCTTTTTTCTTTCTTTCTCTCTTTTTTCCTTTTTTTCTTTCTTTCCTTTTTTTTTACAACATACATTAAGCTGTGAATCAGATGTTAGGGGGATGTGGAAATGAAGGAAAATTGGTGACATCACAATATTTTACAATTTTACAACAGATGAGTCTGAATTTGTTGCATCTACCAGTGTATAGCAAGGGTGAAAAGCAAAGGCACACTTAGGTCTATGGATCCCTCAAAACAAGGGGTGGAGAGTAATCAGGTTGGGAAGAAGATTAAAACAGCAGCCCCACTGAGTACAAAATGGGCATTTCAAGGTCAACACAGTAACTACTGTGACATATATTACAAAGGCAGATCTCTGTACAAAGCTGTCGCAGTGATTATTCCTTTCTACATGATGATAGAATGCTTGCTGAGTAATAGCAACCGGCACTGTGCATTTAGTACTCAGGGGTTTGGAGATTGGTAAAAAGGTTGAAAGTTGAGTTGCTTATTTTTTTTTTTTGATACCTTCCTGCTCCTACTGTTTTGATGTTTTTTTAAAAACAAAACAAAACAAAAACATTGCTTTGGATACAGATCTATCTATTCCAGTCTGCATAGTTCACTAGTGGTGAACAAGTCTTGTTTGGATGAAATCAAAGGATGAAATAAAAGAACTGCAGGCACCCTTGTTACACACTTTGGTCTAGACCATCCAGACTTTCTAAACACCATCTACACACTAGCTGACTTGAAACCTTTCTTTTCAGTCATTCAGAAACAAAACCAAAACCCTGTGAAACAAATAAAGTATAAAATTAAAAAAACCCCAAACCAAACAACCACCTTACTCAAACATACTGTCCAGTTGATACAAAAAGCCCCACAAAACAACCCCCCTCATTTTCTACAGTATGTTGACACAATTATTATAACAGATTAAAAACAAATCTACCGTTGTGCAACCACTGAAAAATTGTAGAAGAACTTGCACACACACACGCGCGCAGGCACGCACGCACGCACACACATAGGGTATATATGCAGTCACATGAAAGGAAACAAAGGAAAATAAAAATCAGTTCCCCCAAAAGGTTTTTGCTGCATCCTTCTGGTTGACCTTATCGTAGCAGTTACTCAGTTACAGCAGGAACCAGCCTGCCTTGTAGTATTTCCATTTCACTTCATTTTGTATACTGCACACGGCCCTAGGTGTGGCTGAGGCTTTCTTCCAGGGGCTGGCCAATCTTACACAGTGCTTGTCTCCAGCCAGCGGATGCACCAGACTTGGAGACAGTATACTAGTCACTTTTCTGCTGGCTAATGATAATATCACCATACTGAAATAATATGAAAGAATAAGGGGGGGGGGGG